GCTCCCTGCTCAGCGGGGAGCCTGCTTCTCCCTCTGCCTCTCTCTCTCTCTCTGTCTCTCATGAATAAATAAATAAAATCTTAAAAAAAAAAAAAGATTTTATTTATTTGGGGCACCTGGGTGGCTCAGTCAGTTAAGTGGCTGCCTTCAGCTTGGGTCGTGGTGCCAGGGTCCTGGGATCAAGCTCCGCATTGGGCTCCCTGTTCAGTGGGGAGCCTGCTTCTCCCTCTCCCGCTCCTCCTGCTTGTGTTCCCTCTCTGGCTGTGTCTCTCTCTGTCAAATAAATAAATAAAATCTTTAAAAAAAGATTTTATTTATTCATGAGAGACAGAGCGAGAGAGAGGCAGAAACAGAGGGAGAAGCAGGCTCCCTGCTGAGCAGAGAGCCCGATGTGGGACTTGATCCTAGGACCCCAGGATCAGACCTGAGCCAAAGGCAGACACTTAACCATCTGAGCCACCCAGGTGCCCTGGCCTGGTTTTCTATCAGCACATGCTCACTCATGATTTACCCACTGCTATTACTTTTTCCTATTGTAGAATATATTCCTCTAGAATTTGCTTGCATTTGGACTGTGCTTTGTATCCACCCACAAATGTAAGCTTGGAAAGTGCAGTGCTCAGAGCAAGAACCCTGGAGTTGTCAGCGGGGAGCCTTTATCTCTGCCCTGGGTCTGCCATTAATTCTCTGGGTGCACTGCACGATTTCCTTACCCCACTATGGGTCTCAGTTTCCTAATTAGTAAAATGGTGGTCATATTATATTTCAAAGATACCCCCCACCTCTAATTCTCTAGGAACTGTCCTGATACATCCTAGTCAAATTCACCATTCTTATCTCAGAACTTACAGACTGACCAACTTGTCAATGAGATTCAAGTGAGCCCATTATCCTAAATCTGTAACCACCCCAATAGTGCTAGGAGCAGCCAGTGAAAGCCAGGACAGGAAAGTCTTTGAAAAAGAAATCAAGTAGCCCTAAGAGACCTTAAACTATTTTCTATTCTCGTCTATTCTGACTAGAAATTTCCACATATGAATAAAAATAAGCTTTGTGTCTTAAGGTTCAATAGTAAAGGTTATTTTTAAGAAAGAAACTAACCTTTTAATTCTATTACTCTGGTGGGTACAAATAAAATAAACAAAAGGAACCCACACTTAAAATAGCAGCATGGCTGTACCATTTCTGGAGAGTCCCTCCTAGAAAATCTCTGGCAAAGGATCTTGACTGTTGGTAACTGTAGAGGGACTTCATGCCTCAAGAAAAGGCGGCTCAGTTGAGATTGGAGAAGAAATCCTGAAGAGATAGGATCCAGGGTCTTCAGCTCTTTCTGAAATTTTTCTAGTAAGCCAGAACTCAAAGGGCGTGATCTGAGTTCTCTTCTGACCAGGGCAAGAAGAAAAGCATCTTCTCTTGTTGTTCCACTTGGCCTCTGGCCAAAATCCTGACACAAGAGCAATAGCAACAATAAATTAACAGGGCTCTAAAATAAAAAGGCTGAAGGCCAATGCAAGGAAGCAGAAACCTAGTGGGCCTGGTATCAGAGCATCCACTTTCAGGCCTGGCCTAGAATAGGACAAGTTGGTAATACTGGAAGCAGGAATTCGATCTGGGTGTATTCATTAGTTTGCAATGCCTCGGGACCTTTGCCTTCAGGAGAAGAAAAGAAGCAAATCATTTTAAAGTGCATACTCTGTTAGAAGCCTCCTTAGGTTATATCACAGGTCTTCTGTAAAATATTTTTTTAAATATAAGGGAATTTACAATGCCAAGTCTTAGAGACCCATTGGATCTGGGAAGAAGAAGGTAGGAGAAAGATGAGAAGTTCAGGTGAGGCATTTGAGGTTTGCCTGTGAGCTCACCAGGGAGTTCTTGGAGGCTGATTGGACATACGGCTTCTGATGACCCCCAGTCCATCCTCAGACTGTCTCATTATCTGCTCCACATTAAAATTTACAGGCATCAAATAATACCCTTCATCCACAATAGAAAACAAGTCCAGTCTTAGTATAGGTACCTCAGGTTGGTCAGAGCTGTCCCTTGCCATCTGTTCCAAGGACCGGTCTCTAATGTTTCTTCTGGGGAGGCCATGGATATAGGACAGGGACTGGTCTCCAGTTGGTACTGAGCTGCAGTGGGCATTTGCCTGGCTGGGAATCTTAAAGAAACAAAGACATATGTTAGTAAGGATCAGAAGGGGAGAGGAAAAGAGAAAGAGGAAAGAAGGGAGAATATGAGTGAGGAACCAATCTCTTAAAACACATTCCCAGTTCCAAATGACTTCAGCCCATATAGTCATTGAATCATTCAGTCCCCAAAGAAGAAAGCTTGCCTCAACATCAATCTCAGCATTATGCGATTAACATGTCTGACAAATACATTAACAATAAAACAATGCTGTTTCACCTTTGCAAGAAAGAAGGTGTCTGTGGCAGACAAAGGAAAAAGAGGTAGAACGTAAGGTATTCATAGGCAAAAGTAAAGTTCTTATTAGAGATAAGGGTATCCTTAAGCTGTTTTATTTTTATTTACTTATTTTTTTTAAATTTTTTATTTATTTGAGAGAGAGAGAATGAGAGAGAGAGCATGAGGTGGGGAGGGTCAGAGGGAGAAGCAGACTCCTCGCTGAGCAAGGAGACCGATGCGGGACTCGATCCTGGGACTCCAGGATCATGACCTGAGCCGAAGGCAGTCGCTTAACCAACTGAGCCACCCAGGCGCCCTTACTTATTTTTTAAGTAGGCTCCATGCCCAAAGTGGGGCTTGATCTTCCAACTCTGAGACTGAGGGTCACCTGTTCTACTGATTGAGCCAGCCAGGCACCCCCTTAGGCTGTTTTAATTAGCAGATTGAGGAAGTATTTATTATACTTCCTCAGTATATTGGCAGCAAAGGCAATTGTAAGTTTTGTCAAGAATGGAATAGAAGAGATTAAAAAGACCAGCATGTTATATCCTAAGAGCAGTATTATTAAAGGTTACAATAGAATAAATGATGGAACAAAGGTCAGTGATAAAATACCATTCCCTCTTGCAATGGAGTATGGAGTATGGTATATTAATTATGGTTTTTTTTTTTTAATTTTCTAGATTTTATGATGTTTTGACATCTTGGGCAGCCTTGCTGTCTGGAAGAGATTGCCCTTCCCAGGGTTAATTAATTTCTCTCCAAGCAAATATTTCCCCTGCCCAAAATCAACCCAGTTCAGATATTAGACAGCTGGGGACAGCCCCTAGGCTCAAAGCCTGCTGGAATTTTTCAGACTAGCCAGTCCTAAGCTGTTTACCCTACCCTGCCTTGCCTTTCCCCTAGAAACCTCAGTAAGGGCTGTAGCCTGTGCTTTCCCCTCACTTCTGCCTCCTGACTGAGCGTGGCGCTTCCCCGTGTGATCCTGTGCTGTCTCATGCCCCCTTTTCGTGGGAAATGTTAAGAAACTATTCTTTCTTTCTTTTTTTTTTTAAAGATTTTATTTATTTGAGAGAGAGAGACACAGCGAGAGAGGGAACACAAGCAGGGGGAGTGGGAGAGGGAGAAGCAGGCTTCCCGCTGAGGAGGGAACCCGATGCGGGGCTCGATCCCAGGATCCTGGGATCATGACCTGAGCCGAAGGCAGACGCTGAACGACTGAGCCACCCAGGCGCCCCAAGAAACTATTCTTTCAAAAGCAGTTGTCACTCTGTTACCTTGTCATACCAGATTAAAAAAATAACATTTTGGGTACAAATTGAGACACATGGTTATTTTTAATATCAGACAATTGAAAGGAGACAGTTATCAGAATGATTCACTGAAAACTGAATGTCTGTACTCAATTGATAGGCACTTTAAATAACCTGTCAGTATGGATAGCAACCTACAGGTGCTTTATAGTCATGAAGCATTTTACAGAAAAATCAAGAGGCTCTCTAGAGTGGGAAGAGCGAGCAGGAGTGGCAGAGAGTTCTAGAATAGGCATAAAAATAACAAGGTATTTATTGGGCACAGACTCTGTACAAGGTACCATATGGTTGCTTTGTTTATATCATTCCATTTAATCTTTAATCCATTTAATCTTTACAATAAGCCTTTCAGAAGTTAAGTAAGTTTATTAAATATTAGTTAAGAAATATTTATGGCTTGCCTAACCTGGGCCAGGCAGGGTGATAGGCCCTACAGTGAACAAAACAGATTTGGTTCCGGCTCTTACAGAGCTCACAGATGGTGAGGGGACAGCAAGTACTCGTGACAGCACCGTATGGAGCAGTGAGGGTCACTGTCAGAACTGTCCACAGGTCCACCTGACCTGGACTTGGTGGTCCAGGCCTGGAGGCAATGACATTTAAGTCTAGGCTTGAAACATGAGTTAGGTTTGGATTTGGATAGGCTAACAAGTAGAGAGGGAGGAGAAGAGAAGAAGAAAGGGCCCAGGAAAAGGAAACTGGATATTGAAAACCTCAAAGGTATACACAGGCTCCTAAAAGAGAGAGGAATACTTCCAGAGCATAGTTTAAGTTTTGAAAAAGGCAAAAGTTAAGGCTGCAGAGGGAGATAGGAGAAAGGGGGTGAATTGCCTCAAGTCCGATTAGCCTCTGTGCTTTCTTCTGAGGGAAGTGGGAGCCGCAGAAATGTTTTCAGTAGAGCTAAGACTAGGTCAGAGTTGTCCCAAATTTACCCCCTAGTGAATTGTGCAGATAAGACTTGAACCCTGCTTTGTACCACTACCCCCAGGATGAGAGAGATTCCACATTCATTCAGTCCACAGAGCAGATTCATCCTGTAAAATATTTGGCTAGGCATCTCAGGTATTTCTTAGAACAGTATGTTTCATTGGAAATTATTTGTAATAGAAAACATTTCCATTTTCAGCCACATGTAAACCTTTTTTTGCCTCTGAGAACTGATACACTTTTATATTGCAGTATTCTAAAGGAGCATTTATCAATACTTCATCATCCCAGTGGAGTCAAGGTGTCCCTTTTCTCATTTAAAACACCAAAGTTTATTGAGTGCCTTTGTTTTCAGCACTATGGATACAGGTGAACAAGGCAGGTAGGATTCCTGCCCTCATAGATCTTTCAGCCTAAGTATCACAGAATAAATTTTATGGCCTTCCCTATGGAAAGAGGAATATATATTCTACTCCCAGGACTGCTGCGAGCAATGAGTATTATAATGTATTTTAAACATTTTGTGAACCCCAGAACTTTGGTATTTGCTGTATATCTCCCTCCAATAGAGTGTGAACACTGTGTGGGCCAGAACGGTTTTGTGTCCTGCTGACTCCCAGCATTTAAGAACAGTGCCAAATTGGAAGAGCAAATAGAAAAACACAGTTTCAGAATGGTGATGATGACTTGTTCAGGCCCAGCCGAAGCGGGGCTCTAGATTTCTCTCTTCACTGACGTCAATCACCAAGTGTATCCACAAAGTGTCAAAGAAGATAAAATGGAAAATGTTGACCAAGAATCACCATGTTTCTGACTTCAGAAGTTGCCAGAGTAACTATAAAATCTCCAGTACTATAGTTTTCTGTCATTTGCTTTACTTTGAATCACAAAATAGTGCTTGTGGATGACACAATAGCCTGAAATGAGTTTGGGGCGTAATACTAGTTTTGTGATATTTACCTAGAGGAATTGTTACAAATGGAGCACAGAAATCTAACACAGATTTGGTAATACTTCTTGGGGTGTTGGAAACCTGCAACTGTGAGGAGTGTAAACAAGTCTTTTTTTTTTTAAAGATTGCTTATAAATTATTTTAAAGCGGTTATATTGTGGAATCCGTGGACACTTTCCTCCAAGACAAGTGAACACACCAAATTGTCTTAATATTGTGTAATGCATAGCCGGGGCTTGGGAGAAAATCTGCAGAGACAGCATCAAATGAAGATTTGAAAAGTTCTGTTTCTTCAGCATTTTAGACCAAGTTGTTGAAGTGTTCTAGAAAGCTGTTAAATGGTTCAAAAAGGGAACCTAGTGACAATAAATACAACAAGAAAGATGCATATAAAAAGCTTGATAGGATTTCTCAAGAAATGTAGAATTGAAAAAAACCAGTATTTCCAAATTAATAGATTTAACATATGATGTTAATATATACCTTAAACCAATACAATATTAGAATTAATCATTTGACTATTTTATTTATATTTGTAAAAATTTTTGTTTTCTTTACATTTTAACTTTATGGAAAGTTATAATTATGGAAAACTTCAAACATAGGCACATGTGTCCAGGATAGTATAATGGAACTCCATATACTCATCACCAAGCTGTAATTATCAACTGACATTCTTGTTTTATTTATACCCACATCACCCACCACCAGAAATGAAGTAAACCACAGATGGTGTATTATTTCATCCACATTTTTTTCAGCATACATCTCTAAAGCGGTGGTTTTCAAAGTGAGGTTCTTGGGCCAGAAGCCTCAGCATCACCTAGAAATGTGTTAGGAATGTGAATTCTTGAGACCCAGCCCAACACCACCGAATGAGAATTTCTGAGTTCGGGGTCCAGAAATCTGTGTTTTAGTAAGCCCTCCAGTACTTGTAATGCATGCTAAAGTTTGAGAACCACTGCTTTAAGGATAACGATTCTTTGAAAATATAACCATAATAGCATTATAATAACTTTTAAACATGGTAATCCCTTAACATCATCTAATATCCAGTCAATTGTTCAAAATCTCCCAATTATCTGATAAATCTTATTTTTACAGTTTGTTTATTCAAAACAGGGACCAAATAAGATCCATATATTGCAATTGGCTTCAATCTTCTACATCTTTTTAAATTTCTACTTCTTCCTATCCCCCTCCTCCTTTTTGTGCAGTTTTTCCCTTTGCAATTTATTTGTTGAAGAAGCTGTGTTGTCTGCCCTACAAAATTTTCCGCAGTCTGGATTTCCTTGCTTGTATTTCTATGCTGTTTAACAAACTGTCCCATATATTTATTAGAAAATAATAGCTAGAACTAGGGTCTTGATCTTCTTCAAGTTCAGTTGTTTTAAGCAAGATCGTTACATAGGTGGTACGTTGCCCCATGCAAACAAATGCTGTCAGGTTGTCTTGCTTTAGTCCATTTTTTTTTTTTTCATTAGCGTTTTGGAAATGATGATATTCTTATCCTATTATCAGTTCTCATTTTCTTTTTTTTTTTAAAGATTTTATTTATTT